TATAGCAGGTAATTTAGTGTTAACAACTGAGTCGAAAACGTAAATTGGCCACCGTAAAAAGTGAAAAACCTGACGTTTGGAGCGTTAGCCCTTCGTCAGAGCGACTCATTTGAACTGAGTCAGTTTCTTTTTTTTTTTTATCAAAAAGAGCAGTAAGAGAGAAAGAAACCAGAAAAATATTTAAAGTACCAATAAATCGTATGACAGAAACTAGAATTTCCACTCAAGTTACTTATGACGTTTTTCTGACCACAAATTACGATTCACTTCTCTATCAAAAGAGAATGTATAGAGGTCTTTCCAATAATAAGGAATGTCTTGACCGATCTACCGCCTGAAATGAGAGCATTTGTTTGCCTTCGTTGGTTCGAGGATGAGGTTTAGGGCTTGTTAGAGGTCACTTTTAATTCCAACTTGAAATGACGAGGCTTTGATCCCTTACGACAAACAACAAATTTACGGGAAAAAAAAACAGTTACAGAGGGAAAGTGCAAGAAGCGGCGTGGTAACTATTGCAGAGACCGTGACATAGCCTAACGTGTCAGTCACGGGTGGGACAGCTCAGTGGCCACTGTACGGTGGTAACTACCGCTGCTACGGAGGCGGCAACTCCGACGGCGAAGTCCATCGTTGGAGATGGGAGAATTGATAGGCTTACAGTTCGGCAGATTTGGCCGTAATTCACCTACAGCTCGCATATTGTGGAACCAAAAGTGTACTTTTTTAAAGATTCTTACCATTTGGTGAGTCTGGTGTCAAATAAACGACATCGTCAGCGTCAAACAAAGTCAAATAGCTTTTCTCTGACACGCTCGCCTGAGAAAACAAAATAACAGTTAAATCTTGAGTCGTACTATGAAGAACCTGCGAGTGATGAAACGATCCTAGTAAGTGAACTTCATGAAGAAAAAAGTGCACTAAAGAAGCTTGAAAAAATTCAGGCATCGACAGAATTCGAACCCGTGTCTCCTTGGTACTATAGTTCTTCCGACTGAAAACTAGAATGCCCCTTTAACCTGTAACTGTTGTGTTGATTGAGGAGACACCTACCTACAAGAGAAACTTTTTCAGTTCCGACATTGTTCCCTGAACGGCGATTCCACCGAATGGAATCACGGGCTTAATCCAGCATTTTCATGAGAGAGTTTCCATCGTTTTCGTTTCAATTGTATTACAAGGGCAGGAATTCGGGATTCACTTACCAATATCTTAGTGAAGTCGAACGACTGTCTTTCACATTCACGGTACACTACACCGCCGGTTTCCAGTCCCGTCAGGTAAAGGTGAACTGGAGACGTCGACTTCATATTGCAACCATACAGTCGCATTAATTGACCAGCGAGTTTGGATATTTCCTGTTACAACAGTTAATGTCGTGTGAAAATGGGAATTTTCCTGTTCACTAGCTACACTTCATCCTCTCTTGCTACCCATAATTTTCTTCAGTTGAAGACACCAGTCGAATCATCGTAGAAATTGGCATATTATGTTCGAAAATCTCTGTAAAGTAGAGTTGGTTATTCTATAAGTCGACAAATGATGGGGAATTCTCCAGAAACTGCGCATGGACGTGTGAAGCTATAATTATCAGTTTGACGACAAAAGAAAATAAAGATTATTATCGTAAAATGAACATCAGTTTCTGTGCCAAAATGATGAATATTGACGCTGATTATAATTGACACACAAGACGACTTAAATGGTCATTTCGTCGCATGCTCTTACCTTATTAAGCATACAGTCTATTACGGTAAAATCAATGGCCACTCTCTGAGCATCAGACTTCATTGCGTTTCCCACTCGCTCTTTCTGAAGTTTCTTTAATACAATTTTTGGGATGTGATTTTCGTCTCTCTCTAGATTAAGAAAAGGAAAAGCAAAATGGAGATACATCAGAATCTGCCCTGCACAACACACACAATCAGAATTGAAAGTCGCTGACAGAGTCAATTTCAAGAAAATCCTTATGGCCAGATCTAGTACCGAAATTCAGGCGCTGAGGCATAAGTTTATGTGACATTCATGGTATGGCCATGAAATGTGTTTCAGACAAAATTGCCTTCTGGTAGTAAGGCGAAGTTCATGTTTTACTCAGATCTCAAACCGTTTCAACAACGAGTAATACGCAAATAATCTCTTCATCATTTCAAAGAAGGGAAAACAAGATATCCCATCAAATGCCCCGCTGAAGGGAAAAGGATAACTACGGACTTCTATAAGTTACACGGTCAATATGGTGACAAACGTCTGTTACAATGCCCTTGTCAAAGTCGATGGGCGTCGAATGTAATCCGAGATTGCCTTAGTTTCTATTTACTTCCCTCAGTGATTGGACCAGAAAAACTCGCGTCACTCTTTCAACCAATCAGATGCAAAACTAAAACCAATCACGACTTGGTCTGTAGAGTTTTCCCGGGCTTTGGACATATTGGTCGGTTTCATTTTGAGTTCTCATTGGCTCTTCAGGGTATTTTCCTTTCTTCTGATTGGCCATTGTAATGATTTGGTTTTATTTTGAGTTCTCATTGGCTCTTCAGGGTATTTTCCTTTCTTCTGATTGGCCATTGTAATGATTTGGTTTTGGTTTCACAAATTTCAATCGAAAAGCGCTCCAATATCCTTTGTTCTTTTAGTGTTTTTTGTTTTTTTTGGCTACTGCACCTTTTACAACTTTTGTCCCCTCTTCCTTCTTTCTGTCTCGTCCTCGCTTTCTCCACTCCTGAAAGTTAAAAGCGCTTACTGTTACAAGCAGCTTTTTTCTGACAAGAAAAGAGAGTATTTATTGTGCAAAGTGAACCACTTAGAGAATATTTTTACAATAACGTGCAAATAAATCTTAAATCTTTACCTTCTTCCTTCTCAGGCTTGTCAGAGACTTTAATTCTTTTCCCTGTGTTGTAAAAGAAAGCAAACTAAGCAAACTAAACAAGCATTTGTGACAGTAAATGTTCTCGAGTTTTTCTTCACGCGGCTCGACAGGAACAAGAGTGGGGAAATATATCTTTGCTGTACAATCGTCAATAAGTTTGTTTGTCTGCGCGTCTGGGGAACGAGATGGTGACGTCACGGCGACATACTACAGTAATCGTGATTGATGTACCGTATTACTGCTTATCTGAAGAGGCGCGCTTAATCGAGGGGCGCTTATTATTCTCCCGTACTGATTCCGCTGTAATTAAACCTTAAAAAGGTATAAATAAGATGGCATTAAAAACAGGTTTACCTTGTATCCCTACTATTTAAGAAAGAGAGGGAGGAAGGAACGCTGATTACAGAGGGGTGCTTATTTGACATTATGCCCAAGTGGGGGCAAGGGCGCTTAATGGAGCGTGGGCGCTTATGCAAGGAAATGTTGTCTGTGCAATTGGTTAAATTTTTCTTCATACAGTCATTGCAATTTAGCAAGATATCTTCGATTTAAAATTATTTTTTGTAAGTATTACGGTTGGAGATTATCCTCTGGTCGATAACAACAACGAACGCAATATTAGTGAACCTCAAAGCACGGTGTCCGTGGGAATGTGATTGTTTACATTTTTATTGGTTGGTTTTAGACTTGTTGGTACACGTACTTCCGAAACCAAGGAAAACTGACGTCGCCCGTGTTGTACACGAGTGGTCTCTGTGTCATAAAGCCGCGTGTGTGGCGCTCTGTCCTTTAAATTGCTATTGTTTTGCATGCGAGAATAAAATCGTTTTCTCCGATCGAGTATCTCGAAAAGTTCTTCGCGCGTCTCGATCCCCGATCATTGATTCTCGATTCTCGCTCCCTGAGCCTCTACTCTCAATCGTCGAGGATCGAGTTTCAGTCGAGACTGTCAACGTACTGTTGAGAGGCACTGCAGTAGCTGACGTTTCTCAGCTGTTTATGCTTTAATGGCTGATGGATGGATGGATTGACTAATTGAATGATTAATGGATTGATTTGTTGGAGGCTTAAGAGGGATGTCTCCTGAGGGTTTGGTTTTGTATCTTACGCCTGCCTAAACTGTACGACAAAACTACACAGTCACTTGCATCTTCCTACTTATATAAGTTACATCTGCATCTGCGTAAGTGTCAAAAGCGAAGGAATTCAGCGAAGAAAAGGAATCAAGAGGAATTTTAATTATGAAAAAAAAAACATAATTTAGCACTTTTTTCTGGTGAAAACTTACAGAAAGCTTAGAAATATTTTCTCCTAATTCCTCCATCAGCTGTTCAATGCCCTCTAAGCTCTGTACCTCTTTAAGGCTGGTGCTCAAATCATGAAACCTGCTGAGACTTTTTAAACATAGTACGAAGAAAACGTCAGGGCTCTGCTTAACTCTCCAACACCTAGTAGTGATAAACATGTAATTTCTCTTTGTAATTCAAATATGTTTATCTGGACGACAGGTTGCAAGAACCAAGATATCATCTGGAGGGTGTTATCTAGATATCACACCAGATTCTCCTGTCTCATTCTCAAGAAAATGTAAGGCAATCAGAAGGGAGAATTTCAAGTTAGGTCTTGGAAGCAAAAGGGTTGAACTAAAGACAAGTACAAATTATCAAGGAAAATATCCAGTGACATGATCATTACAATATTATTGCTTGACCAAAAAGATACAAAATGTAAAAAAAATTGATTAAAAAAATTGGATTTTCATTTCCTTACTAAAATCCACAAAATCCATTGATATGATGTTTGATGTTGGAAATGGATGTAGGATGGACTTTGCAAAGTTCCAAGTACTGCCTGACCACATCTAACACTGGAGGCTGTTTCTTACAGAAAAGTGATGGGTTACCTTCCAAAGACTCTTAAGAAAAACAAAAAAATAATAACAATAATGGCAGAAGGAAGGAAAAAGCTTGAAGAACGCAATATTCAAATCTGCTACCTAGGTAAAAGGTTGTGGCTGAAATTGAAGTCTAACAAGAACATTTATGTATCAAGCTGTAACATTCCATAGCTACATGTATAATGCTGAGTCACTTGAGCATCACATAAAGTTACATGCATCTAATAAATTTGGGCAAAATACAATCTTGATAAACAAAACACAAGTTACATCTACCTGTCCTTAATGAGTAATGATATGGGGTTTCCTTTGTGCTGCTTATGGGTCAAATTATTCACAGCCTTTTCCAAACTACAGTGAGGGGCAAGAGTCATGGCACATGTTATACTTTTTAAATTTTTTCTGTAAACTTTCACTCCCTCTCTGCCCCATTTCAATGTTTCCTGGTATTCACAAAATGGACACTAATTTCCTACAACATTGTTTGGAGGGAAAAGGGGGACCTTCATGTAACAAATTGAAGATGAATTACAAGACCTCTGTTTATTACGTTGAGTGATGGGTTGACAGCCTCCTAATAAGGGGAGGCTTGCCAACTACTTTTGCCGCTGGTTGTACATGTGGACTTAACATCCCAAGGACAGAACTACTTTGAAGCATCACCTGAGGCAGTCACACCCTGAACTCCTGTGTACTCTATACATTCATCGACCTCCCATTTAGAGGATAATCCAACATCAACAATTATTGGAAGGGAAACAGACTCTCTGAAAAATAGTCAATAATAGATGTGGTTACACACTACCAACTTGATGACAGTCCACCCATGAGAAACTTAAATTTGCTGGTTTGACCAATTTCTATGAAGGTAAATTACCTCTGGGAAATTTTAGCTTACGGATCCATCAGGAAAACAAAAGGTTTCCCCATGACAGCAACCCTAGAGTAACAGAATGGGAACTTGAAACCCCAAAATTGCAATGCATTCTTTTCCATATCATATGATGGTATGATTTATTACTCTCATGTGATTTAAATTACAATTGATATTGTATCAATCTCAATTTTAGGAGTATTCCACAATTTTCTTCCAATGTTCAAAATCTTTGAGATCTGTTCCCAATCAAAATATTAATTTTTGTCCTAGAATCAGCCAAAATTCAAGAGATGATAACACAGTTGTTGGCTAAGGATATGGCTTGTCACCCTTGTTGTGCACACCAACAATTAAATTTTGTAGAAAAATAACTCTTGGTTGCTATGCTCCTTGAAAAAAAAATTAAATTAAAAAGAATTGAGAGAAAAAAATATTGATATTCTTGAGTTTCAAGCATGTTTACAAAGTATGTGTTTGCACCCCAAATATTTTGCTGTTTTGTTGTATTGTACCCAGAAACCAGCAACAAAGGCTGGTGTTACCTTCTGATCTTGGGAAATTGAAACCCAAGATAGATTTACCAGGGGTGAATTCAGGAAATTTGTCCTCTGTAAATCAATTTCCCTATAGTTAAAGTCTGTAGTGTGACCACAGCTAACAACTCATAGTCAAGAGCTCAAACAGACATATATTCTAGAGATTGATAGAAAACACCAATTAAGCTCTCACCGGATTACTTTGACTGAATCCCAATCCTTCTTAGAAATACTGGCATTAATCTTCTCTGCACTGTGTTTGTGGAGTAGTAAAAGCTTACAAAAATAAAATTGGTCAAATGTAAATTAGTAAAACACAAATCAAAAAAGCTAGGCAGACTTACACCTGTAACATAACCCTTTAACTCCTGTGAGTGACCAAGATGGAATTTCTCCTTACTATATCTATACAATATCATGCAGACAAGTGATTAGAATAAAGAAAAATATCAATTATGGGATCACTAATTGATCCAATACCAAGTTCTCCAAACTAACATAATGAAAATCATTTGGCAGACAGTAAGGAGAATTACTAATGAGATCTTGGGAGTTAAAGGGTTAAGCTAAAGGCTGAGATAATATCTGACTGGGTGCGTAAAATAAGTGGCAAAAAGGCTACATATAACACTAACTTAAATAGCTGCGAGAGCTTATCACAGTTTCTAAGACATGAGTACTCATTCTGGACAAAATATCAGTCCATAGTGGGTAACACCCCACCACTTCATCACCCATACAAAATGTTTATATACATACACATATCTGGAAGTTTGGGAGTCATTTTTCACTAAAATGAGACAGTTTTTTTTGTTTGTTTGTTTGTTTGTTTTTTTTGTAATGTATAATTTTGTTCTCATCAAGACAAGACAATCTTCATTTAACCCACCATTTATAACATTATATGGTTAAATATGTTAGTACCAGTAAATCAAATAAATAAGTGCAGGACATCCCAAAAAAAACATTGTCAGAATGCAATATCCTACTTGAAAGTGTGGGAATAGGGAAAAGGCTCCTTTTTTTCCCTTTTTTTAATCGAAAACTGTCACACTGCTTTTTGTCATATTTGATACCTTTTTTTTTTTTGGGAATGGATAGCTAAATTCAAATTGAACTTGTCATGCCGTGTACACATGTGTTTTCCCCTTCAGTTGTCATAGAAAGGGCTTTGTTAATAATACTAAATAGTAAATCAACTCACAGCTTCATTTGATGATACACAATTCCTTTAAAATTATCATACCTCACATCCAACCTTATGGAGTGATTTACCCCTCTCAACTGCTTCGTCAGTTGTTTGCCAATTAAAAGGGAGCTTGCACATAATAGGCATTTTACACTCTTGGTGAACTCTCTGAATACAACTCAACCACGAGCTCCACTTGTCATGCTGTTTGTCACCGGGGAGGTCACTCAAACCGTCAGTGGTAAAGTTGTTACTGATGTCGACAGCATCACAAAGGCCCTCCAATCCATTCACTGCCTTTACTAAAATTTCAGGTTCTTCTGAAAACAACTACAGGTGTACACCCAAAAAATGGCGATTTTCAAGTCAGAATGTTTACAAAGACACTCAAGAACATGCCTTGAAGACTAGTTATCGTGGTTCATGTAAGATCAAGAAGTGGCCATGCACTGGAGGAGACCTCAATCTCTACTTAAGTTAATCTTGTACCTGAACAATCAATGGTCGATCCTCCTGCCTCAACGCTGAAATACCAAGTAAATTGTCTCGTGTATTTTCAGCATCTTGTATTACGTCCAACGCTTTCACAGCATTCGTAAAGCACAGATGTACACCGAATTTCCTCATAAGCAGCCTCCAGGAAAGATCTTGTACATTCGTAAATGGTGACGCGATATATCGACAGTTAGAGAGAAACTTCAACGACGACATCTTCCAAAAAATCATTGATCACCAGTCATTTCACTTCTCACGAAAATTAGCGCATCCCTTGCCGCCATATTGGATTACTACTTACGTTCCAGTTTTCCTCATTTGATATTAAAACCGTGGAAACCTGGGAATGACTTTCCATGGCCGGAAAATACCGGAAACACTTCACATAGTCGGCCATCTTTAATTATGAGGGAGTTAAAGTTTATTTTTACATTTTGACGTCGAAATGGCCCTGAGCATTAAGAGGTCACCATGTGCAACTGATGACTTTGCTTGATACACATGAAGTTTACAGAGCATCTTGGTGCTCATATAACGCCGGAATGGCGAAGCCAATACATAAGATATGAGGTACAACTATTTCATTAATACCGTATTTTTTTAATTGCTTCAAAGCTTTGCTTAGTTGAGAAATTTTTGTTATCTTACAGCCACGGTCATCATTTGTTTATCACAACTGTCTAAAGTCTAGTTCTAAAGTTCCGGTATAATTTAAAATAATGGATTTGGAGAACAATGATACGTGTATTGAGATTATCTTAAAGATAATTTACATGACTTTTGTTATGTTTTGTTGTTAGTAGCACAAGACTGAATCATTTGAATCATTCTTTATGCCCACTTTAACAAAGGGATATTTTTCTTTGCCGACAACCTTGCCTAGTAGTGCATGCATAAATTTCCCTTAGACGATTGTAATTTTGTTTACCGGTGCAGAAATAATTTCAAATAAACAGGTTAGAATATCAACTGTTGATTACGTTACTTGTGAGCTTAAAAGTGTTTCGAATTTTACACACACAAAACGACGTGAATTTAATGTGATTGTAGATGGTTCAATATTATATTCGGCTGAATAGTTTTTCTCTTTCATATTTTATTCCCTGTTACACCTTATCATGAACAGAAACAGAGAAATATTAAGATGTAAAACCTTAGTTAAATTCGGCTTTATTAGATCAGCACGTCATTTTGTGCTCAGTAATGAGCTAAAATTAGAAAATAAGTAGGGAATTTGCCTTAACCTGTCAACTTGCCTTCATATTTATGACTCTGATCTCACAGGTCTCTCTTACATTCTGAAGAAGTACTTCACACTTTTTATAAAGACCACAAATTTTAATCTGAGAAATATATTTGGATGTCTCACATATATATTAGTTACCAAGTAATTTGAAAAGAACTGTTTCCATTATTTTGTAAAAATCTAGAGAAACTTACATAATGAACAATATTTACGTACACAATAACAGAACACAGAAAAGAATATAGATAGAAGCAAAACTGAAACTATCAGTGTAAGGTGGGCATGTTAACTTGTTGACTGAGTTTTTCTTATTTGGTGCGCACACCTTTCTTGAGTTTAAGCTGGGATTCATTGACTGCCTTCTCAACCATTTGGCTCCTAAAGTGTATGAAGTAAAATAAATTTGTCATAAGCAAATAAGTGAGCAGAAAAGTCATTTTGAATGTAATGCATTAGATTGATTAGCTGAAGAGGTGCAGTTGTACAAATTCCTAACTGCATACTGAGAGAAATTTTCAATACTTGTACAGACATGTGTGGATGTCTCTTTGATGAAACATTATCCTTTCTATAAAAAAAAAAATGTCAGATAAACTTACATTTTTGGAATGATTTATACATGGCAGTGTATTGTGTTCAAGAAGATTTCTTGTTTTATGGGAGCATGCATATTGCAATATGTCTATTCATAAGATAGTTGTTTAATGTGGTTATTGATAAGTGGGAGTTCTCAGTGATAATGTGAGAACTCAATAAAGAAGTCATTTTGGTCTAGACCTGTGGTCCCAGTTGGGTTCCAGTTGTGGGGGCTTATATTTCATAAGTTTCCTGGGGGGCTTCACAGGTTAACTAAAGTGAATTTGTTATTTTGGTTTTTCATTTTTTGTTCCAAATTTAAGCAACTTAAGGATGTACTTTATGGTGGACTGGAAAAGCTGCCACAGAAGGATGGTAAGAATGTATTTCCAAACCCATTAATGATATAATTATAACCATTACAATTTCCTCAACTGTGATTGGTGCATCAGCTGCTTTATATTTCACTGAATTATGGTCAACTCGCCGACGGACCAACTCGCCGACGCCAACTCGCCGACGCCAACTCACCGACGTAAAAAATCGAGTAGAGACGTTGGTGAGTTGGTCCTCAATCCAACACAACTTATTAGAAGTTAAACATACAGAAAAGTAAATGATATTTAGTAAAAAAACACTGAACATTGGTGAACATCAAACAGAAGCTTAAACATCGGTGAACATTGATGAACATCACCAATGACTATAACAGCTTAAGACGCGAACGAGTTATTGTGCGACAACAACACCGTAAAGACTCATCAAGTCAATCGCTCAGATTTTTTAACAAAAACTTGGCTTTCTAGACAAGATCTTTAGTAAAAAGCATTTCTTTTTATTTGCAACAAAGTTTATAAGGATCTCAAGGCGAATAAAGCGAAGTAAACATCACCAATGACTCTAACAGCTTCAAACGCGAACAAGTTATCTCGTTCGCGTCTTTTAAAAGCTGTTATAGTCATTGTTGATGTTCACCAATGTTCACCAATGTTTAAGCTTACTTTTACTTTTTTGTATGTTTAACTTATAATAAGTTGTATTGGATTGAGGACCAACTCGCCGACGTCTCTACTCGATTTTATACGTCGGCGAGTTGGCGTCGGCGAGTTGGTCCATCGGCGAGTTGACTGGTTACCATTTCACTAATCACTCTGTACAGTTGTAATCGGATAGTGTAATTGGACAGTTGGCAGTAAATTTTTTACTGTAGACATTATCCCTGATGGAGATGTTTGTCCGAAATGTTTTTTTTTTTTTTAATTATAATGGTTATGATTAATTGGTAACAGAACTTTGTTTCATCCAATTCTGCCGGTAATCATAGGCGTGATTGACAAATTGGACTCCCGCTTCGAGGTCATCTGATTTTGTTAATCACTCGTATGATTACAGACCAAATTGAACTCCACTGGGTCCTATTACCATTATTTATCAAAACTATAACAAAATAATATTCTCAAACTTGATTGGTTATCACCAGCCTGATTTGAGCACTAATAGGGCAGTCACCTGTCATGCTTGTTATTGGATGGTGTAATAGCACAGTTAAAGGGACAGTTAACATGTCATGCCCGTGTAAGTGGACACAATGCTTCATTTGCATGTGTTGTTGTCTTGCATTTTATGATATTATGAAAATGTATAACCAATGTCCAGTTTGTAACTCAAATTTTGTTGTAGTTTTGATTAATTGGTAACAGGGCTTCATGTTGTCCAATTCTGTCCATAATCATACTAGTGATTAAAAAGTCAGTCTCCCTCTTCTCAGTTGTCCAATTTTGTCAATCACTTGTATGATTACAGACCAAATTGGACTCGGCTTGCTCCTATTACCATTATCAATTGATTAACTTTAATAACTTTGTGAATATAAAGCTTGACCACAGAATGTAAACCCATGACCATCTCGTTGTGGTAGTGTAGCACTCTAACCAACTGGGCTATTAAATCAACCAAGGGCTCAAGTGATTATGGGTTTGCAATTACTCTATGAAAGTTTAATAATATTTTATGGCCAAAATTTGATACTCTTTGACCATAAACTTTGTATTTTGTTATAAGAAACATCATCAACTGTTATAATAGTTGATGATTCTGTTAAGCCGGATTTTTTTACTTGGCTTTATTTTCCAAACAACTATAGTTGACAATTTTAAAGAAGTATTTGTTAAAATGTGGTGTGTTACATAACATATTTATACTAATATCAAGTGTATTTTTTCTTGCAGAAAATCCTGATTCAGTTTTACAGGGCTATTTTTCATCATTTGAAGAGCAGTGGTTTAGGTACTGTGATGAAGAACTAGAAAAAATTAATACATTCTTTGCAGGTAGGTATCTTCTTTATAGCATATTATAGTGTCCCTAGATAAATATGGTGTAAAGAAAATTATGGAATCATGAAATGATATTGTGGAGCAAACTTGAAAGTTGAAATGCTTCATACTCCTTGTGCTTAGCAGTTTTTTTAGTAGAAGGGACATTTTTCTCTACTTTGCTGACTTACATATGTAAGATCCTTTGGTAACCATTCCACCATACAGTCAAACAGTCTGATAACTGACTAGGTAGGGTTAATGTTGGTTTAGGGAAGGGGTAGGCACACAGCTGCTCAGATACTGACATACTGAACCAATTTTTGATATTTCCCTTTGAAGAGAAGATTGCTGAAGCTGGTCGTAAGTACACAGCTCTCAAAAATGAACTTCATATGGCTGGCTCTCTTAAAGTAGGACCTAGCCTCAGCACCTTGGCAACATCAAAAAAAGTGACACTTGCACCTGAACCCAGCAAAAAGGTCAAGGTCAAAACAAAGAAGAAGGTCAATCATCTCAAGTTTGCCTTTGGGGAATTTTATCTTAGCTTAGTTCTTCTACAAAATTATCAGGTAAACATTTACACAAGGAACTACTTTTAACTCATAGTTTTGGGGTTCTGTGTAAGCTTTATGAACATTAGAAACTATGAACATTAGAAACTACTCACTGCAAGTTATTATGAGGGCTTCATTTACTATAAGATAATTTTTTTTGTAAATAATTCTTTTACCCTATAACACCCAAGATCTGACTGTTAATCCTCCCTATTTCCAAGTAAATTAGTGTAAACTGGAGTTAGATCAAGGTAACAACTTCTACCTGTTAGTGATAAGTTTCAATGTTGTCATTACCCATTTACTTGATATTGTTCAAAAAGACATTTAGATAATGAACTGATGTTATAGGGAGAAGTTACATGTCAACCACTAAGGTTGAGAAGAAATCAAAGTTGTTATTGACTATTTCTGCCACTTTGCCTATTTTTTTGTCCTTTCCATCCCTACTTACTCTTTTGAAAGCTGGTCAAAGCACAACACTCCAAGGTATTATGGTCTCATATTTTGTATGATCTCTTGGCCCCTTTTTGGTAAAATTATGTTTCAGTTAAACAATTATTGCACGTACCTAATTTCCTTTTTTAAGAGTTCATGGGTTTTCATTATCTTTTTTAT